TGCCCAAGGAGCAGTGCGACGTCATTGACGTCTTTTTCCGTGCGAAGCACGACGCAGGAATGGTACGTGAGGGCAAGTCCCCCCATTTGACACCAACGTTTTGTGTTCGGAAGCCGAACGGCAAGTGGCGTATCGTCCATGCTTACAAAAAGCTCAACGCTGCCACCATTCCGGCACAGACGCCGATCATAGAGAGGATGCTCCTCAGAACAACATGGTGGGATGTACAAAGTACAGTGCACTCGACTTGCTCGATAAGCATTACCAATTGCTCATGTGAGCGAGTATCATTCCGCTGACAGCGGTGAGCTCCGAGCGGCATGTTCTGGGTGTGGCTGGTGATGCCTCAAAGGCTGTCAAATGCACCAGCAACATTAATCGTCTTGTGACACAGTTGTTCAAGCCCACAGGGCGTATACACATACATACTATGACAGAATTTTTGTTCACAGTCGTGCGATGCACCAGCAACATTAATCGTCTTGTGACGCAGTTGTTCAGGCCCACAGGGCGTATACACAGACATACTATGACAGAAGTTTTGTTCACAGTCGTGCGATGCACGAAAGGACGGATAAGGAGAACCACATTGTCCATTTGAGTGCGGTGCTCAAGTGCATGCGCACGAACAAACTGTACGCTAATCCAGACAAGTGCATCTTTGGCGCAAAAGAATATCCCTTATCAGGGTGCTTCAATGGGAAGCGTGGCCTTCGAGCGGATCCCGTTAAAAATTAAGGCCATTGTAGACTGGCCGGTTCCAAAGGACCAGAAGAACTTGCGTTAGTGGCTTGGTCTCGCCAACTACTTGCACAAGTACAGCGTAAATTACGCAGAAATGGCCCGGCCGTTATCCAATCTCCTACAAAAGGACGCGGAGTGGTATTGGAACACCGAATATTAGGAGGCTTTTGATGGGGTCAAAGACAGCCTCCTGCATACACAATACTGGCGCTGTCAGACCCTGCTCGTCCTTTCAGCGTCGTCTGTGACGCTTCGGACTTTGTCATCGGTTGTGCACTGCTGCAAGCC